TATCAAATGCAAGGTTTTTAAAATTTAGATTAACTGAACAATCATTTCCAGTTTCATCTCACATTCCTCAGTCCTCAGGTCCATCTCTGATAGACATGCAGTTCCTAAAACTATTAACCAGAATCTTAGGTATTTCCTATTGCAAGAAGTTTATCTTTTAGTCAGCCGGGTGTCTGATACATGCAGAAACTCATCACCATGCTTAATAACCATGCCAGTCTGAGAGTTCCACATGTGCAACATGCACATGGAATTTTCCCTATGTCTGGAATGGAATGAGCACTCTTTCCCTGGAGCGATGCATCCTGCTTATCTAATTCTATAGAGACCGTGCCTTCAGCTCCCCTCTCAACTCTCTACCGCCTCCTCGCTCCCTCACTTCCCTCCCCTCACCCTGACCATTTCCCCCCTGCTCGGGTCCTGACCCAACTGTACAGCGCCTTGGGACGTCCTCCCAATGTGAAAGGCGCTCTATAAATGGAATCTTGTTGTTGTTGTTGTTGTAGGTGCAGGTTGGCAAGAGCCAAGGCTTTGGACTCCAGATTGTATGTTGAGGTAATGTTGGAGATTCGCGAGCTGTAACCTCATAGCTTGCCTTTGAAACCACTGTCTGGCAAGCTTCCTGCTGCTTGTCTAGCTAGGACCACCCTGCTTATTAGGACTTTGGCTTATAGGGTTAAGCCAAGTGGGAAGAAACCATGTTGCCAGTATCTTTCCCTCTAAGTTCTATTGATGCAGTAGGCTCGCTGTGCTGTCAATCAGCAGTGCCCCGGAGCACGGTCCTGCCTGGCTCAGGAACCAGACTACTGAGACAAAGGGTTGGCTCAATTCTGATGTTCCACTGGCAACCATCTCACTTTGGAGACATCTCAGTTCCGAAGAGACATAGATAAATAAAAAGGGAGCACGATATCCTCAGGCTTACAGTAATTCATTTATAACAATGTTCAATAAATACTTTTATTTCCCCTTAATTGACTATGACTTGTGGAAATTGCAAATTACAATGTTGATATTTTAGTGTGGATGCTATCACAGCATGAAGCCCATTTTCCATGTGGATTGGGAAAATTTTTCATTGGGCTGTGGAGAATGGGGATTTTGTGCTTCTTTACCAGATACTGGCCAGCAAGTAATTTTAGAAGGATAAAAAATTAAATTTAATAAAAGCCATTCTCAAAGCTGGGAATCCAAAGCTAGAATAAAAACAAAGATGGGCTCTATCTCTATTCTGAAAAACCTGGTGAGAAATAATTTGCTTCAAATCAGGGTCTTTAATCCCAAAATAGACATTGAGAGCATGTTTTAAGAACATATTTTAACAACATATTTTAACAACATATTTTAACAACATATTTTAACAACCAAAAGATGGCCGATGATAATTGAGGAAAGTAAGACTCTAACCTCTGGAACTTTCTTCTTCAATCTCTCATCTCAACCCTCTCTATCTATCTTCAAATACCGCCTCAAACCCTACCCTTTAACTATGCCAATGGTCACCTCCTTCTCCCTCTCCATTTCCCCTATGCTTCAAGATATTCTACATGAAAAGCGCTATGTAAATGCAAATTATTGTTTAAATACCAGAATTTGGACCTTGCAGTTTCAGTTCTGAAGTATCTTTTATTTAATAGACTAGACATGTTGTGTTGTATTACTTCGGGAAGAAGGGTTACACCCGAGTCCATGTTAATCAACATTTATTTTGTACGACTTTTTTTATTCATGAGCACAGGATACAAAACAGGTGCAGAATTTGCACACGCAATTGCGATACTGTTTATTCCAGCCAGCATTTCCTTTGTGCAGCATTTGAGTGCATTCAGTGGCATTGACTTCTCTCAGTGCCTCACAGAGTATGGGCTCCACCCATCTGTTCATTGTTAACATGGTTGTTTTGACGTCTGGACTTCCTCTGCGAAAATCTCTCATTTTCTTTCTGAATCTTTGATTCTGGAGCATTGGCAACAGTAACCTCTGTCTCCTCATACAGAAGCAGGCCACAACAATTTCACACGCAGAAAATACAGAGATAGGACAGAGGTTTTCCCTTGATTGGCTTCTGACGCTGCCCTTGTAAAGAGGGCATTGTTCTGTACGAAGGGCACACTTTCAATGCAAGTTGTTTAGAAACGCAGCAGTAATTGTAGATGCGCAGTGTTAATTTTCATTGACAGTTCTGGCACTGCAGTACCATGAAATGAAGTTGACACAACCTCATGTGGAATTGAGAACAGAATGTGCACGAACGTCCCTCACAATTCCCTCCATGAGGTTCTCTTGTGGATCAGGAGTGATAGATTAATGGTCTTTGCCTGTTCCTATGTTGGGCCATATGCCCTGTTTCCATGCTGTATCATTCAGTGGAATTCAATATCATTTAATGTTCTGAAGTAATCTGTTGAAAATATAACTGCCCAGATTTTCCAGGAGTTTCAAAAAGGTTTTTATTCTCATTTTAAATCACACATTCCTTGGACAACATGATCCTAGCAAAGCCCTCTAAATGGGGCCTGTTTCAGGTGTATTTCCATATTACCAAATAAACAATGTATTCCATTGCTATCTATTCTATAAGGCCTCACCACCATTTTCTTTTTCCACTCTGGAAATCACACTCTCAGTACTAACACGTGCTCTCTAACTTCCAACTCATTCTGCTCAGACATCACTTGCCCAGATATCAGTTCCTCAATCCATATATGCTCCATAATTAACTCATTTAAACACCCTTGTTCCTATTAAATCTTGGATGGTATCTCAGCTCTACCTTTCCCTTGGTACAAACTAATCTCTGACAGCCATGAATTTGAGTGCATGTGATTTCTTGATGGTTAGATTCGTCTTGATGACCTCAAAGAGAATCACCTCACTGACAAATCTTTCTGTTACTCCTAAACCATTCTGAAGGGTAAGGATAACCCAAATATATTTTCGAACATTTTGTTTTAAATTGAGTCTTTTCGCAGTACTTAAAAAGACCCAGCTTCAAAGTTATGACTGGATTTAACGATTTATAATAAAAAATAATAATAATAACAATGATCATAAATTCTGTACCTTTCACATTGGGAGGACGTTTCAAAGTACTTCACAGTTAAATGTAATGACTATATATTTTTGTAGGCCTGAACACAGCAGCCAATTTTTACACAGGAACAACAACAAAGTCACATTTATATAGCTCCTTTCACGTAGGGAGCACCTCCCAAGGTGATGCAGCAATGTCCTACAGACAACCCTGAAGTGAATGATCAATTGTATTTGGAGGATTGTTGGCTAGAAGCCCACAGAGGTTAATTTGAACCAAGGGAATGTCAGTACCAGGAGACAAGATGTTGTAGGAACAAGGGCTTTGGCCAGTGAAATTTTCCACAGTTCTGTACGATTTTACAAAATGGCCTGACAGCCTACGACTAGGTAGAATTTCAGACCTTCTGTTCCATAGCAAGTCCTCCTAATTCTCCAAATACAAGGCACCGTTCATCTACGGTCTGTAAAATTCTCACCAGCATCCTCAAGAACATAGGCCATCCTTTTCCACGATTGCTACCCAGATAGACTAAAAAAAGACATTGCAAGGGCATCGTGCAAATAATGTACTGATCCTAAATTGCTTTTTCCTCACACAGCTCAGGCCTTCTACATACAGCTTCCATCTGTGGCCCAGATGTATTGTGAGTTAATAGTGGAAAATGACATAAGTGCTAAAGTTATATGCAAATTTTGCTTGCAATTATTAATAAGCTAGTAAAATATCTGGGAGAACTTTCATCTTCACAATGGAATCAGAGCGTTATACATACAATAGGATGTTTAAATTAAGAGCTCAGTTGCAGACAAGAATGATAGGGCCAGGTGCCTCACCAAGTGAGTCGAGGCACACACAGTCATTTAAATGATGTTTTCGATTATTTCCTCTCCAGTTTTCTCCCCTCCTCTCATGTTGAAGCTTACTTTTGCTGGGCTTTGGTTTCTTAAGCAAAATATTCAGCAAGTGGGCCTGCTCCTGATCTCTGCTGAAAGTTGTGTGTGTGCAAGATACCATCAACAAAAGCAATTTGTATTAATATTATGCCCTTAACTCGATGAGCTTAACAATGGCCTAATTTGACACCGAGCTGGGGAGAAACGGAAAGACTGAGGTCTAACTGCTGATGGTGGGGTGTCACTATATAAATGCAAATTGGTTTTGTACATGCAAAATGCGGTTATAATGGAGGATTTTTAACTTGGGGAGGAATAACAGCACAAATAGAAAATAAATTAAATTTTGTACATGCATTTAGTTTAGGTTTCTCTTTAACACTATGCTTAAATAGGAACAAATCTCGATTTAGTTAAAAGCAATAAAGCCAGTAATTTAGCAATTTACTGCACAGCTTGAAATAGTAATAATAACTATCCTTGAATTTGAGATAATGCCTTGGCACGTTATTGAGACGTCACAAAGCGCTTCACAGAATGTATTGTAAAGTGGGGTGAGTGTATATTTTAGGGGCAAATGCCAAAAAAAAGGTCTAAATTTTAGCCCGAGGTAGGACTCTTGCCCTCCTCATCCTCCACAGGGGATAGTTGTATTTTGGAAGATGTCTATGAAATTTTGAAGATGTGGAGTCCTGTAGCTCAGTGGTTAGAGCGCTCACCTCTCAAGTGAGAGACCTGGGTTTGATTCCCGGCAGGCGAAACCTTGGGCAAGTTTCTTAACTCCACACCCTTAATAATAATCCCTCAAGAAAAAGAACAATAATAAATTGGTCACTTCAATCCACAACTGTTTGTGGGACATTGCGGTGCGCAAATTGGCTGCCGCGTCTCCCCCACAAATATACAGTCAATTCACTTTACAGTCTGTTCTGTGAAGCGCTTTGAGACGTCCAGAAGACGTGAAAAGCGTTATAGCAAATGCAAGGATTATTATTATTATTATTATAGATGTTCAGATCCTCCGGGTGTAGATGGCGCCATAGAGAAATGATGGCACAAGTTCTCAGGAGCTTGGTCTGGTCTGGTCTGGCCTGGGCTGGTCTGGCTCATTCTTCCTGGGTATCGTTGGTGACTGTGACCAGCTGTTCTGTAGCCGCCTGTCAGGTGCAGCAGAGTGAGTCTGTCGCCCTGTTATGCTCTTTCTCCTTAGTGGTGTTTATCATCTTTTGATGTGTTTTATTTTAAACCTTCTGTTCTCTCACTCTCTTCCTGTGCTGTACATTCCCAAAAACACACTTGCCTTGACTCCCTGTCCTTCTACCTGTTCTGAGCGTCCACGTCCCTGACTGTGCAGCGCCTGGGGACGTCCTCCCCACGTGAAGGGAGTTACACAAATGTCATTTTGTTGTTGTACAGAGTCGTCTCCGCCTGTCGACTGTTAGGAGCTGACATACAACAACAACAACAAAATTACATTATAGATCGCCTTTCACAATCGGGAGGACATAACCTGACAGGAAGCCCATTCAAATATGTGGTTGTCCCTTTATTTTCAAGAACGACTCGCAAAGTATTCTTAAATCGACAGCAGTGAATGATCTGGAGTGTTTTTTTTTGTCAAGATTATTCGGGGTTAAACAACGCTCTTAACTCCCACATTCTTGCAGCTACATGATGTTTCACTAAAACATTTCATTTCTTCTGAATATTTTTCCCTTAGCAGTTCTGTGTTAATTTTGTTTAAAACAATACCATTCTGATCGATTTGAAATACTGAAATATCTTTTAACCATTTTGTTAATAATATCAGGGTTTCTCACTGAGGCAGACTGTTCAGGAGTTAAATGTTTTAAATTGATTTTTTCTCTTTCGTTCTGTAGGAGTTTTGCAATGTCTCAGTTTGTAAATATGCTGTTGGGGTTAAGCGACCTTCCAGTAACAATATTAAACATTCCAAATATAGATTTGTGTCTGTGAGAAAGTTCAGCAGAACAGTTTAAAAGGACATGTTTGTTAAATTGTGACAACAGCAAAACTAACCAGTATTTCTGCTGTTACACAAACACCAAGAAAGATTTCTGTACAATCAATATCATTAGCAAGAGCTTTATTCAACACTGACATGTTTTCACCTTTCCCTTTATACAGAAAGGACTGCTTGTGCTAATCTTTAAGTCTAGGCCTCCATGGACAATTAACATGTGACATTGGTCACTCAATTCACGACTGTTTGTGGGACACTGCCGTATGCAATTGGTTGCCACGTCTCACCCACAAAATATGCAGTTAATTCTAAGTGCTTTGAGACATTTCGAAGACGTGAAATGATTATTATCATTAAAAGAGCAGAGTCCTCTGGGGAAGAGTTAACTTTCCAAGTACACTCAATCTATTTAACAAAGTACGTTTTAGGTAGCGAAATGATGTCCTCTCTGACATGCTTGTACCCAACTCTCCTGCACACCCTCTTTGCTCAGCTGGCGCAGGGCTTCTGCATGTCCCTTGATCCCTCCACGTCCTTCTGAGTCAGAGTGTACACAGTAAAATCCTGTGAACTGCTCTGAGACCTCTCGATGTGATAAGGCGCTGTATCAAATGCAAGGAATATTATTACATCATCCTTTGCTTAAAACCGAATAAAAAGGTTTGCAGACATGCTTGACATGAAGGCCGTGAAGGCCATCTAAACTGTGAAATTTATATGATTAATATTGAGCCTGTGACACAGTGACCTGCGTGTATCCATGTGTCAGCTCCTTGAAGCTTCTTGACTCTAATAAAGTACTAATCCAGAAAGCTGATTACAGCAATGTCCAATTCATGTTGTTACAGGATGGCAACACAAGAGAGGAAGATCCTCTGTGTTGGGCTGGTCTGTCTGGATATTATTAACGTAGTTGATTGCTTTCCAGTTGAAGACACAGATACGAGGTAAATAAATATTGTCTCTGATTACCATCTGGAGCTCTGATGCCATCCACTCTTTGGAACTTAGTCTACTGTTGATTCACGCATCCAGCAATCAGTTGTCAAGCCTTAAACCAATGTTCCTGCTCTGGAATTCTCTCTCAAAATCCTACGCCTTGCGCCTTCTCTCCTTACCTTAAAATTATTTGAAAAGCATATCTCTTTAACTCTCTCTTAGGGCAACACCAACAAACTTTCCTCCTTTCTTGTCTGCTCATTGATCCCCAGCATCTTTGTGAAGTGCTTCACAATCCTATGTGAAGGTGCTTTGAGCAAGTTGTTGGTATCAGCAACAAGGTATTTAGCTTGATTTGTGGAGTCCTGCACTCACCTCGCAAGTGAGAGACCTGGGTTCGTTTCCCGGCAGGGCGAAATCTTGGGCAAGTTTCCTTTCTCCACACGCCTGTTAATAATCCGTCAAGAAAAAAATAATAAATTGTTCACTTCAATCCACAACTGTTTGTGGGACACTGCTCTGCAATTGGCTGCTGCATTTCGCCCACAAATATACAGTCAATTCACTTTACCATCTATTCTGTGAAGCGCTTGAGTTCTCTAGAAGACGTGAAAAGCAGTATATCAAATGCAAGGATTATTATTATTATGATTTTGGCAGTGAATCACACCGTCCTCCATATACTTTGAAATACAATACCTCTGAGGACCTCCATATTACTTGATTAGCTCCGCTATAATGCACTTCACAAGAGTGTAAATTTGCTTGCATCGTGGAACTTGTTCATTGTGCATAAGTGTAGCTGGCCAGTTGATTCCCACATGCTGGCAGTCTGACCAGATTAATGGACAGCTTGAGTGTGACTTCTAAGAATCTGAACTCAACTGATATGCAAAATAGCCCAGCATCCTTTTTGCCTTGTTTATTGATGCCTCACATTGTTTTGACATGATGAGCAATGACCCAACTACCATACTTCGGTTTCTTTCAGCATCCCGTTACCAAGTCCTGTGGGGAATAAGAGCATTTCTTCACACAGACAATCTTGAAGAAGGACTGTGGAACATAAAGCAAATGCTTGGTGTTTAGACAAGTTTAAACAAGCAGTCTTGTAATCCGCCCGGGACAAGATTTTGAACTTAAGAGAGTGCTAACATACAGGATTTCGAAAATGAAGCTTCTGTTCAGGAGTTCAAAAACAAAAGAAAACTTTTCCACTGCATAATCATAATATAATAATAATCCTTCCGTTTGATATAGTGCCTCATCACATTGTTGAGACATCTTAAAGCGCTTCACAGGATATTCTGTACTGTGTATTTTGTGGGCGAAATGTGGAAGCCAGTTGCACACAGCAATGTCCCACAAACAGCCATGGAATGAGTAACCAATTTTATTTGGGGGATTGTAATACTGAATATCTTAAATGCTCTTATATTGATTTATTTTATAACTCACCCAATACAGACACTGGTTCTGTAGCTGTTGGTTTTTTAAATGGTGTGTACCAGCTTTCCTCTGCCTAAATTTAAAGTTCACAACGATGTTTGTTTCTTGAAAGTCCCTGAAACTTCTCCATTTGATTGGATTTTTCTCTTGTATTAGATGTTTGTCCCAGAGGTGGCAGCGAGGTGGAAATGCCTCCAATTCCTGTACAGTACTTGCACTGCTCGGCACTCCATGTGCTTTCATGGGCTCGCTGGCACCTGGACGAGTTGCAGAGTAAGTTTAAAGCATAATTGTTATCTCCACATCCCTCCCCTTATCCTGCCAATGGCCTTGCTCCTCAACACAACCGGATGTGTCTCTAATGCCCTTTTCTGTGAATTTTGCTCAGTGACTAATGTGTATTGTTTTGGTTGGCTTGTTGACAATGATATATCATTTAAACTGGGTAACATTCAGAGCAATCAATCCTGTGTTAATCCCTAAACGTTGACCATTGGTAACTTCAATATCAATGCCCCTTGCGAGCGGCTAATATGTACTTAACATTAGGTCACAAGGAAGGTGCAATAAGATGAGTATTTTGCCCGAAAAGTTAAGCGCTCTTAGACCCTACCCTGCATTGATGACGCAAGTGCAAGTTGTTGCTGGATTGTCTGGTGCCCTTTACTTAACACTTAACAAAATGGATTTATTAATTATCTAATAGACAACTCATCTTTTTCATTGTGTGTTAATTATTTCATAGAGGGCATCTATCATTCCCTCTGTACACATGGTTCTCATAATACAACTGTGTTTGCACATGATTTACAGATGGCGGATAAGAGGCCCATTGTCACCAATCATGGATATCTGAAATAAGTCCAAACCTAAAATGCACATGACAACTCACCCATACAAGAGAAATGGGGAGCAATCGGGTTAAACCATGTCCATCCATTTTAATACTTGTAATACTATAGTAAAAAGTCAACCACCAAAGAAAAAGACAAAGCTCTGTCCTCCCCTCCTCAGAGTAAGCTCAGTAAAAGGTTTGGCACAAGCACCCAGGATATTCCATACTGCAAGCCATTTTTCAGAACCCAGCAGATATATAATCCATACATTAACAAATAACCTATGGATTGCAGCACAGAAATAGGACTCTCGGCTCAACCTTTCCCTGCTGGTGTAAATGTTTCCACATGAGCCTCCACCCATTCCTTCCTCCCTATCCTTCTCCGCTCCCTCATGTCTAGCTTCCTCGGGAATGCACTACTTTATAGTTCAAAAGTAATCTGTGTACAAACAGTGAAATATTGCAATGCAGTGTAGATTTGCAATAAATAAAACGATGAAGGCATGTCATCTCAATGAGCTGAATGGCCTGCTCCTGTTTCGACATCTTAATTTGTTTTGCATTAAATATTGGCAAGTATGTCAGTGGCTTCCTTTCCTAATTATAGATTAACTTCATTATATTTATTATCCTTATTTGCTATATTTTCATTACTTTTTATTGGTTTCTTGCACCCTCTTTCTCTCTCTCTTTCTCAGATATCATTATTTAATTCTCCTACACTCCCCACCACCCCCACCTCTCCTATATACATTCAGTTCTGTTGGAACATTCTCTTCCCAAATAACAGCAGCCCAAATAGATGTCCATAATCTGTGCAGCAAGAGAATTGAAGGATAAGATTTTGTGTGGCAACAAAGAGTATGGTGATGAGAAATAGTCCAGTTGAAAGCCAAAGGGAAAGGAGATGTAGAGATGAAAAGCTGGGCTACTGAACTCAGGTAAACTTTGACAATGAGACAAACTTTCTCCAAGATAATTGTGCAATGCACTGTATTCCCAATATTTCAAAACTTTCTATTTGGAACAGAGAGGTGGGTATTAAAGATTAGAAATAGAACAACGGCTTTTGAACAGTGGTTAGTGTTCAGCAACAGCTAACAGTTAGTGTTGGCTCCTTAAAGGACCCTGGTCATCTATACACACACACACACACAAATAATTTAAATTTTCAGGAGTGTATGGGGAGAATCACCGAGGTAAGGATCTCCTATTTTGGTTATATGAGACAAAGTACAACAACAACAACAACAACAAAATTACATTTATAGAGCGCCTTTCACTTGGGGACGATGTCCCAAAGCGCACTCCAAAGTAGTGGAGAGCTTGCTCACACCATATGGCCTGGAGAACGCATTGACAAGTGGGAATTATAATTTAGCAACATCAAAAAAGTGAAATGTAGGAATGATTTCGACCTAAAGATTTCAACCCCACAAACAAATAACTGGCACAAATTAATCGGGAATTGCCCATCTTGAATCCTTCTTAATGGGTTGGGTTAATGTATGAACGACTGCTCTTGTTGTGACAGTTTGAAAATAGAAGACATGTTGGGACAGAGAGATGGGTGGGGAGCAGTCTTCCAGTTAGACAGATACTTCTCTGCCCTCTAACCATATGCCCTCATTTCCAACCTCAGCTCCAAATATGCTTCCTACGTGCTTTTCCCTGGGTCCTCACCATGTTGAAGTGAAAACTCTTTGCACAAGCTTTGACTCTATTCTATCTTCAAGACTGGATCTCCTTACTTCCTTTATCTTCTCTTCCTCCTACAATCTACAAACGTTTAAGTCTCAACCTTGGCAGGAAGCAGCACACAGACACTTCTTAATTTCTCTCATCCTCTCTCCTACTATTTTGAACCTTGTGTTGTCTTGTGCTATAGCTCTTGGCTCTTTGTCTCCATTTACCAATTTTAAGAACGGATTAATTTATGCCGGTATCTGCAAATGTCAAACCTGTATGATGCAAACCTAAGTTTGTTTTCACTGTTCAATAATCGATGGATAATCTTGGGTATTTTCAAAGATATTGGGTAATTTTGTGAGAAAGATGAAGAATGTTGATGCTGGAAAAAGGAACCATGTTTTCACTTGCTGTGCTCAGTGGGAAGAAGAAAGTGGTATTCCTAGATCTTAAAGTGCTCTACTTCACCGCTTAAATCTCAGATTGAAACTCTTCAGTCCTTTGCTTCCCCCTCTTTAACTTTTACTCCTGATGTCAAGTTGCTCACCAGTAATGGCCATTATTCACCCTGCACACTCAATGTTAGCAGGGTTTTCCCGTATGAAGGATATCACAGCCGAATTATATTCTGGACCCTGACATTAACAGAATATTCCAATGGGAAAAGGAGGGATATCAGTCAAAGTGGTACACAAACGATAGGACCCACGACAAATACCATGATATGATACTATTGGAGCTGACAGTATCAGAACAGGAACAATTGTGGTTTCAGTTAAGGAGTCAGAAGATCAATCATGTGAATACATCTCACTGGCCTGTATTGGGACAGGATGATGTGTGTTTGTGTGGTGGGGGGGTTGTTGGGTAAGGAAGGAGTCCATGTTTGTTAAGGACAGAAATAATTTGACGTGGGGCAGGTGCAGAACTAACAACTAACAATACCCCACATGGCTCAACTCAATTTGGTGGGTCAGAGGATCAATCAGGAGAGGGCAAAGAAGAGAGAACCATTCAGAAGTTCAAAGGGCCCATTGTCAGCCCACTCTATAAACAGCTAACACATGACCAAGGGGAACCAGAGCTGCAACATGTTGATCAGAAATTAAAAATGATTAGTAAAATATTGAGATTTTCTTGAAATCCAATTAATCTAGTCTGGGATATGTGTGAACCAAAATCCACTGGGAGAAAGGAAGAATTGAAGTTTGACCCCCACTAGCCCTGACTGAAAGTTGGCCTCTTTGATATATTGTGAAGTTCCTGTGCGCAGGTTTGCAAAACAGATCAGGTCATCCTTTCCATTTAAAGAGACATGAACTGCAATTGTGGCATTCGATGAAAGGCTAATTTGGAGGAAAGAATTTCCTGTTTGAAGCACTTCCTGCAGAACCTTACAGATGTTGTAAAAGCACTCGCTCTCTCCTTCTGGAAACCTTTCCTCAGGACAGGAGGCGTTCTCGACAACAAATTCCTGTTGTAGAAGTGAAATGCCAGACACAGACATTGCTTCATTGCTTGTTCTGGCAAGAGGCCTTGCAGCTCATTGATTTAAATTCAGTTTCCCTTTTAATGAAAATCCTAACATTTTTATCTTATTTGTCTGGAAGTCCATCCTCCTCCATCTTTTATTGCATTTAAATCCGCATTATTATGGCTGGACTTCCTGTAAGTCTAGTCTAGGAATGTGGGATTCTCCATGTGTTTCATTCATGTTTAATCAATTACTTTTATTTATCCTTCATCCCCTGCACCCCCCCACCCTGTTCTCTCCTTCACCACCCCGATATGCTACCAAGAGAACCTTCATAGTTCTGTGCTTCAGTGGTTCAAATTCTACCTCTCACACTATCTGCACTTCATCTCCACAAACAGTTTCTCCTCTAGCCCCCGCACCATCTCATGCAGCATTCCTTGGGGCTGTGTCCTTGGTCCCCTCCTCTTCAATAGCTACATGCTCCCTCTTGGTGACATCATCCGCAGACCTCCACATGTATGCGGATGTCACCCTAACTCTTATCTCTTTGCCTTCACCCTTGACTCGAGGACCACTGCTGTCCCCTAGAGGATAGAGTTTAAACCCCATCCTCTCCGTCAAGGCCCTCCACGGCCTTGCTCCTTCTTACCTCTGCAACGTGCTGATCCATTATCAACCTGTCCACTCCCTCTGCTCAGCAGGCTCCATGTTCACCACCTGGCCCGCCCAGCCAGCCCCACCATTGGCAGTCGGGCCTTCAACCTCTCTGCCTGCACCCTTTGGAACTAAATCACACATTCTCCTCACCTCACTCCCTCCCTTGGTTTCCTTCAAGGTGCGTCACAAAAACACCTTGTCTTTGACCGCCCTCCTACCCTCCCTGCCCTCCCCGATCCAGAACTCCAGCTCGGGTCCAAATCCCTGATTGTCCAGCGCCTTGAAACGTCCTCCCTACGTGAAAGGCGCTAGACAAATATAATTTTGTATTGTACTGAATTGTAAGAGTGACACTTTATCCAACCACTTATTGAACAACTGAGCAAATTCCCTTTAAAGTATGCTCGGAGGTTCAAGCAGACAATCGTAGGACTTGAACCATTTTCTGACAATAGTTTTGTCGCTACAAGGCACAAGATAGCAGGTCTGGCCTCTGCGTTACCTGTCGAGAGGTGGGAGCTGTAAACCATCTTAGAGCTCATATCAGAATGCTATAACCTCTGTTCACTGATAAGCAAGGAAATTCCATTTACTATGAAATGCAAAGATTATTTATTATTAGCTTATCCCCCAATTCCTTATAAATAGTGAAATAAGTCAAAGTATTTGAGCTCTTAAAGTGCTTTATGTTTGTTCATAATAGTTAGTATTGGATATTTACACCATGAAAGTTAATGATGATGTTTAGCATTCAGTGGGTTAAACGTCCTTTTTGAATTGAGAATCATCGTGCTCCGTGTTGATCTTTCTCCCTAAAGTCTCCCCTCTATAAATATCTCGCAGTTTTGTTTATGAGGACCTCCAAAGCCACGGGATTGATGTGAGTAATGTGATTGTTCATTCAGGATCTTTCTTCCCAGCCTCCATTATCATCAGCAACATATCAAATGGCTCCCGCACAATCCTCCACAAGAACAGGTTTGTATATCATTGGGAAAAAGATTCAGCTTGAACTTGGGAAGCAAATGGGTTTCATGTCATGCTGTATGTTGAAGCTTGTTAAGCTTTACCACAGGATTCCTTCCCGAATTGTTTCGGAAGGATCCATTGCTGCAAGATTCCAGCATTCCTCATGTATTGTCACCAGGATTATTTAGCATATTGGTGCCATTAAAGTGTAGGAGAACTAATACTCAAATCAGTATGTCATTTGTCTGATGTACTTAATTTGTCACTTCAAAACAAAGCTCAAAATGCTTTTCTCCAAACGCAGGTTTGGAAGGACAAAAATCTAGAATTATACCACTGGATTTTTCAAATTCAAGCGTGAACCATATTAAAAATGTTACACTGCAACCAATACCTGATAACAATACAACAGGAAGCTGTTTCAGAAATCTTGGTGATGTTCATTGGACTGGAGCTGGGACAGAACTTCCGTTTCTCACACATTTCATTCCTGTAAGACATTGGCCTCTATTCAATGGTAATCTATCCCAGTAACAGTTCCTGTGAATGGAAAGTCTGTGTGCTGGAGGCTCAGTTCGGCATTCCCTGCACTAACAATGGTACCTGTACTTTTGTCCCCTGCCTTCTTGTTGAAGGTCACATAAAATGGAGGTGAGAAAGATGATTACCTGAGAGGAAAGAGGAGTCTAGCCCAATGCAGCTGGTTCCCTTATCTTTTTGCTTTTCAAAAACAGTCGAGTAAAATCCCATTTTCTCTCACCTTTCTGTTTCCTTGCCCTCAATCCTTGCTGAAGCTTTATAACAGACGACTTTCAAAAACGTGGCATTGACATCTGCAATGTGGCATGGCAGAGTGTGGGAATTACTCCCTGTGCTTGCTGCATCGTCAACTCCTCCAGCGGCTCCCGAACCGTGGTTCTTTCCGACATGTAAGACTCACCCTTCAAATGTCACACACTTAAAATGTGCCAATGCAGAAATGCTCTTTTCAGGCCAGTTAACACTAATAACTCACTTTGTTCAACTTGCAGCCAAGTCCATTGTTTTATGTCAACTGCACATTTTGCAGTTAAATTTGCATTTTGCCGAGCAGCCTACCTGTGACAACACCTGGAGAAAGTGGATTCAAGAGTATGCAATTTTACACACTTTAGATTTGTCATACACGCTAACCAATAAAAAAAATTACAGCTCTGCTTTGATCAGACACAAATACAACATTTAGGGACTGGACACCAATAAAGTAATGGAACACAAGCTCACAACTTCCCCTACATCACCGGCTGGTATGGATCTAAGCAGAGGTCAGGAGCTTCCTCAGAACAGTGGAGCCTAATTTCCGTGATTAGAGCGGGCACAAAATGAATTGGACTCTTGCCACCGCCCTTACCTCTCCCCCACGGTCTCTTAGAAAAACGCAGGATCAGCCTAGGAACTTTTAATAAGACCATTTTATAAGCCAAGACTGGATGATTTCAGAAATCTGGATTTTAATAGCCTCGATGCTTGTGGAGCAGGAAGTATTGACCAAACTTTCCAGTGCACCTTGCCTGCTTCTCACAAATCCTGCAAGCTCCCACCTTTTGTTTTGATCAGCCAGGTGTCAGATGGCTGGGATTATCTAATGAGCACTTGAGTAAGGTAGGAGAGGATGCCCAGTATTGTGGAATTGTGCTCCAGTGATATAAATATTATTTAAAAAAGTCAAACACCTACTGGAAATGAAGAGGAAAAATTGGAGAGAGAAAATAAAAAAAATCACTGGCTTTCAGATGTATCCTTCTGCTTCTGCAGATGTAGCAGCTGACTGGCGTCTGGTGTCTTGCCACAGATAGCAGGGCTAAAGTACTGTGAATAAGATGCCATACTTGCTAGACGAGCAGAGTTGGAGTGAGGGAGGGGAGTGCAGGAAATTTCTAAATAACAAGGAAAAGAAAGTTGGAGTGTTGTTGTCGTTACTGGGAGTGGAAACAGGGTTAGTATTGCTCGTGAGCTACTGTCAGGAAATGTGTCTCAGGGTGTAAACTATTTTTTGCAGGGAATATCATGATACTTGAGCCTTACTGACGAAATCTCAACCCCCAACACCTGAGAGCTGTGGTTTTGTGGGTTGGTTGGCATCAAGTTGAAAACACAGTTTATCTCCTGAGGCACCAATGTCATTACAATTCTCTCAGGAACCTTTTTTCAACTCCAGTGGATCTCAATATTAAAACTTCTACACTTTATGCACATGAAATTGCTGGGTATGTGTAGGTAATTGGGCTCCGCTGATGGTTCATTGCGTAAATGCACCACATGGTGTAGCACCACATTGGTTGACGAGGTGCCATCTCCGGATTGTGCTGAGTTGGCTGTTCTCACTTGGAATGTGATGGCTCTTGAGGTGATCTCACTGAGCTTCACTGTCTAGACTCAACCATCAAAAAATACCACTTGAATTTAGTATTGTGGAGCTGCTGGTGTCTGGATATGTCAGGGGGTGGTAAATTGCTTGTGTGGGGGTTTCTGGTTGCAGACTTGCAGGACTGCTTAAAATGCCAAATACCTTTCACATGAATACAATTGAAAATAAATTGGAATTTCTCCCACTTTACATCTTTCAGCAGGAAATCCTTGTGAGGATTATAGGTGTCAAATATCATATTATTCTACTTGTAAATATCTAAAACCTCAAAACAGAACATCATCATTGCTCCAGTTCAGCTGTTGGTTTCAAGGCATTATTTAAGGCCATAAAGTGAAAGAACAGTGATATCTTGGGGATCATTTCTGGAACCTATGTTAAAGTCTTTCTGCTTTGGCACACCTCAGATGCTTACAACAGTGCATGACATTGAGATCAAATCACCTTTAATAAACAATTCAAAAATTACTTCAAATAATTGTTTATGAAATAAATCTCTAATTCACATAACTTGCATTTTAATAATGAAAATAAAGTTAAATTCTGCCACTTTTTCCAGTCAAATATTTCTTCCTTTTGCCGTTTTCAAACTCTGGGTCGAACGTGTTACAAAGGGGACATGCCACCTCTATGGTGTGTTACATAAAACCATTCTAACCAACTTGTATCAATTAATACTGCACTGGGAAACTGTTCCCTTTGTGTGGTTTCCATTAAACTTTCATCTGATTTCAGCTTTGAATGTCATTCTGCATTTGGAAAGAAGCACTTGGAGCCACTTCAAGCATCTTCCTGTTGAGCATTTTGTCAGGCGTCTTTTTCCACAGTGAGCTGAATTAATTGTTGACCAAGGAAGCTGGCTCCACTTCAAACATGAACAACCAAGTGCTTTCTCTGGGCCCTTTCACTTTGCTGTGACCTTCAAACTCTGCGCCCAATTACAGCTGAATTTAGTATCCCAAATCCAGTCATGTGTTCATTTGATCAGTGAGAGCCGGAAAATAATGAGGCCTCGGCACTAGATTAACTTTAAAATGTGCTGGAAGTTTAAATTTGGGTTCATGGAATTGACCCTGATCACAAGTTGCAGCATTTCTGGACAACACTGGGTGAAGTCCTGTTTATTTTCCAGGGTCAGGGTTACATCCATACAACAGATATCACAGCTGCACTGATCTTTGTAGATTAGATTCCTGTCAAGCACTGCCACCCACTTCAAACTAAACGCTGTGTTACATGTTTGATGAGGGTTTGTTTATGCCAAGCTGCTCCTCCTCTTTCTCACCTCTCCCCTTCTCCATCACTCCTCTCCCCTTACCCCCTCTCCTTCATTCTTCTTCTTCACCTCTCCTCCCATCCTCTCCTCTCCCCCTTCTCCCCTACTCTCCTCCTTCATTCCTCCTCTCCTCTTTCTCTCCTCTCCTCCTTTCCTCCCCCCTTCCCCTTTTCTCCTTCTTTATTCCTTCACTCCTACTCTCCCGAAGGTGTATTTCTGACTTTTAGTAAGTTGTGGTGCCAGCAGTCCTCCAAATTCTAAACCAGTGGCCATCCTTTTTGTACGACCCCAAACAATGAGTATCAGGAGGCTGTTTGACTGTGGAGTACATCACAGCAGAGCCTGATCCTGTTTTCACCCAATGTCAACTCCCTAGATGAGCTCAACTGTAGCAACCCAGCTGAGATCAACAATTTAGAGAAAAAAATCCCCACCAAAAGCGGCAGCCTTAAAGAAAAGTCCAGACACATGAAAGAGAATTCTCTAATTCCTTCCATGGTATTTGGTTTTAATTGTGTTTCTGTGAAATTGCTGTTTTTCCGTTGAATCATACAAAACTTGTTCTGTGTGAATAAATGTGCATCAAATGTATTTAAATGAATAACAGTAAATCTGCATGATCCTTACTTAGATTGGCAATGCAATTTTGTTGCTGGTATATTTTTCCCAAACAAATATTTTGGGTCTAATTTGTACACTGCAAAATTGGTGGTTTGTGTTAACCATGTAGAAACTCATGTGTACAGAGGAAATTGCAGGCTTCCTCAATTTTTTACTGAACAACCAATGAAAAGGGTTAATGGGGATTGTCTGAATTGTTTACATAACTAAGGGCAACTGTAGCGTTTGCACATGGTTAACCCAAACGGTAAATGAGATCCCCAATGCAATTTTAACTTGTATAACGCATTCATCGTCACAGATGTACTCACAAAATACAACTTGTCCTGTTTATAATACAGGGCTACGACAAGTCATGCAATGTATTGAAGTTGTATTAACCCGTGGTTGTGCTTTAGGAATCTGCCCGATGTAACTATAGAGGATTTTAAGAAAGTTGATCTCTCGCAATTCAAGTTGATTCACTGGGAGGTAAGTAAACTACAGAGTTATGGGGCAGGGCAGCTAAATGGGACTGAAAGGAATGCACTTTAAAGAGCCAGCACAGATACGATGGGCTGAATGGCCTTCTTTTGTGCTGTAATTTCTATGGTTCTACAGTGAGTACAACCAAATTTATTTGGGCACCTCAATAATGAGTACAGCTCACTGCAGTTTGCAGGCCACTTTTTCATCTGATTGTTATTTGAAAAAGATGGTGATCAAAATCCTAATCTCATGAACCAGTCATTAAAAAGGGTAAAACAATCCATAAGTTCCAGACGTGCCTCCTCCATTGGCTCGACCAGCAATGCTGGAGTGGTTGTGGAGAAGTAGCACTCTTATAAACATCGTTTGGAGATGTCCGAAAATTCGTAGTCCCACTACGATAAACATCTCTGTTTGTTAAAGTGGACTTGTGATCTCTCACTATGCCTCTTTGCAAAGCCTGCCTTGATGGGGTTTATTCTCCCGCAGTTGGGACATTCATTAACCTAAGATGTAGAGTGTATGTAATGCCATTTATGCCCACTCTCTGCTAAAGGTCAATACGTTTACCCGTGACAGGAGAATAGCCCTGGTGTGTTTGAAACAAGGAGTGAGTCACTGGCACAGAAGACCGTTGCTGGGAAAGACGGATCTAAAACAAAGGAGTTATGTGATCATTAAAATATCTGGCTTTAGGCAACCAAAAAACTGACCTGGTTAAACAAGGGTATTTTGTTTAATAGCTTGTGTGAGAAATGGAAAATGTCACAATGAGGGAGGGGGAGAGAGGCCCTTCTGAATTTGAGCCTGAAGAATGTTGTTTTGGAGTCAAGCAGAGGAATTCTAGACCTAAATGTATGATCCCTGACCTGGGAGTGCTTGGTGCTGTCATGAAGTGTCTAGAATGGGAAATGGTTCCATTTCCCTCCATCCTTGATGAGCACAAGATTCATCATAGTAAATATTTAAAAGATTTTATTGAATTGATCTCTCCCTAACATTGGAATTCGCATTTTAGAACTCAACAACTTTAAATCGCCTCTTGTTATCTCACTTCAGCGCCCATGTTCATTCATTTGCTTTTATCTCTCTTCCTCAAGTCGACTGGAATTTGACATATTTAAACAAATGTCTCACACCCTCTTGTCCAGTTTAGACCACGTTTTATCAGCATTTCACAATCTTAATGACGCATCAACGACCTCAAGTACAGCATCAGTTTTAATTTTTTTCTTGTTCTGGTCCCACTTATGACTCCATCCTGTAAATGCAGATTGAAACATCTAATTAATTTAATGAACTTTTTAGCCATATACAGCATCCTTTGGGTACCCAGAGGTGATGTTACTGAGCACACTTTGCAGCACTACCTGCAGGTAATTTTTGATCCTACAGCTTTGGCTCTGAGCTATTGAATTCTTGGTTATGAACATTTTAATTGTTTGTGATCGTTTCACGCCTCTGCCTCTGCACAGAACAGTAAAACATCATCTATTGGTATCACTGCTAATTCTCTTCCCAGGCTTTTATCACTGCTGTTCCTGAGCTGACCAACAGAGGGTGATGTTATTTGACTTGCCTTCTGTCTGACTATTGGGGAATTCAGCTGGGCTTGTATCAAGAACTCGTTGTGTGTTAAAATAGTAGCTGCTGCCCCTTTCACTTGTGTTACACAGAGTGTATTCCTCATCCTAAAGCAGGATATTTGTGGGATGAAGTTTCATGTCAGTGAGCGACATTGTGTGGCAGTGTTACTGTTTTGAAAAATAACATAGTTTTGGCTGGCTCTCCAGTTGGCAGAAAGCTGCCTACAGATGAGACATTGAACAGTGGTCCCATCAGCAAAAAGAGAAGGGAGTTTCTCCTGTTGTCCTGGCCAACATTCTCCCAGATCACTTCATAGTTATTCATAGGACACTGCTGTTCTAAAACTGGCTGCTGCATTCGCCTACAAATACACAATCTATACTTTATTTGTTTAGGTGGAGTCCTGTAGCTCAATAATTAGACCACTCGCCTTGCAAGCGAGACACCTGGGTTCAATTCCAGGCAGGACGAAACCTTGGGCAAGTTCCTTACCTCCACACCTAATAATAATCCCTCCAAAAAACTAAAAGAATTAATAAATTGGTCATTTTTAATCCATGACTGTTTGTGGGAAACTGCTGTGCACAATTGGCTGCCACATTTCGCCCACAAATATAGTCAATTCACTTCACAGTCTATTCTGTGAAGCGCTTTGAGACGTCTAGAAGATATGAAAAGCGCTATATCAAATACAAGGATTATTACTATTATTATGGCAATTTACCTTTGATGTGCTTTGAGATGTTTTGATGTTTTAAGCCTTGTATCAATTACAAGGATCATTTTTATAACATGTTTTAATTGATGTATAGGGCAGAAATGCATCGGAGCAGATTGGTATGATACAGCGGGTGGTGCAGTATAATGCTACTGTGCCAGCAGAGTGCCGAATCACCATCTCCGTGGAGATTGAGAAACCAAGGCAAGATCTCTTCTCACTCTTTGGACACGGAGATGTGGTAAGTGGAAATTTACATTATCAGTATTGCAAGGGGAACGAGATGTATTAAAGACTTTTGTTAACTTGGAAGGGAGAAGAGCTGCAAAAGCTTTGTGTAATTCTTTGTCATGTGATCCTTCTTTGAGGCTACGGCAGCGGGGTCTTAGAATTATGCAGCGCAGAAGGAGGCCACTTGGCCCATTGTGTCCGTGCCGGCTCCTTGAAAGAGCTGTCCAAATTAGTCCCACTCCCCCACTCTCAAAGAAGAGCTAGGAGCTGAGCTGGTTCCAAGGTAACATGCTTGGCAATGAAACAAATTAATCAAGTCATCCTTCTGTGATGGTACCTGTATTTTGGTTCCTGAGCCAGGTAGGTGCATTGTATCCCAGAGCACCGCTGATGACAGTGCCAGGTTGGCTCATCAGTAGGGCGAGGAAGGGCAGATCAGTCACTGGTGGCAGAGATTATTCCCACTCAGCTTCTGTTAACCCTGTAAGACAAAGCCTTAATGTACAAGGTGGTCCTAGCTGGATAAGCAGTGGGTAGATTGCTAGTTAGCATTTTGAGTGGCAAGGTATGAGGTTTTACCTCGTTAAACTCCAGCAGTACACTAACACACACTTTGGCTTGGCTCCGGCCAACCTGGGCCTAATATTCCGGGAATTAGATAAGTAGGATGCATCCCTCCAGAGAGAGTACACGTTCCATTCCAGACACAGGGAAGTTTAGTGTGTAGATGACATGCAGATGTGGAACTCTCAGTCACATTGATTACTCTTAACTATGATGATGGGTATCTGCATGGGTCGGGCACTTGGCTGTCCAAAACACATTACCATGGTGACATCACACACAAAGAACAGAGTGCTGTTACAGTATAAATTAACAAACCTTTCTGAATTGGTGCTCCAGTAAAAGATACCTGGGCTTGGCCAAGGAAGGAACTGCTGTTTAGAACCCATCTCAGAATAACTAACGACTGGAGCAGGTTTCCAGGAACAGTGTTTGAAGCCAGGACACTGGACTTATTTAGGAAGCAGCTTGATGAGGTGATGGGAGGGAGGAGGGATAAGATCAGTCTGCCCGAGGAGCCTTCTACATCCAGACTCATCTTTTGATCAGAGAAATCTTTATTGGATCTTAAAAAGGTGTAGAGAATGTCATCGTGAACATTCATTTTGGCATTTAGGGGCCCATTTTATCTAAATTTACATGAACCGTTGAAAAAAGTAAAAGATGCCAGTGTAATCATTCCTTGTATTTCAAGATTTTTTTTTGTGTGTACATCTTAGGTTTTTGTCAGTAAAGATGTTGCAGGACACTTAGGGTACAAATCAGCACCTGAAGCAGTGAAAAAGCTTTACAGCCTTGTGAAGCCTGGGTGAGTACTATCGGATTCCAAATTTCAACTGCGTTAGTTGTCATCTTGCATATTGATGTAAACAGGACTTTATTACCACATTATCACATTACACTGTTCAACAACTGAACTCAGCTCAGAGAATCTGGATATCACAGCGTAAACACTGCACTTCATTTTCTCATAGTGCTATGGGATGTTTAACATTCACCTGAACAGGCAGATAGGTCCTTGGTTTAATATCTCATCTGAAGGACAGCACTCTGACACTCATACCCCCAGCACTGCATTGGAGTGTCAGCCTAGACTGTGATTTCAAAGTCCTGATGTGGGACTTAAAGCCACAACCTTCTTAGAGGTGAGAGTGCTACCAACTGAGCCAGAATGGCATATTTCCTTACATACTTATAAGGGTCTAATTCAGAAGATTCCTCGAGTATTGACTCCAAATTAATTGAATGTGCTGAGGATGGACACTCCCCTCCACCCCACCTCCCACCCTACCCCCCTAAACCCCCCAACCATTCTTCATACCGATGTCCTGAAGCCAGGTATCCCATTTATTTTCCAGCTCATAGCCTTTGACTGCTGGTTAGTGAGATTACAGCTTTATTCTGTCTTAATAAATCTATGAGCCCAGTAACCGGCAGTGGGAAGACAAACATATATCCCCAATTTAGGAAGCTGGCGTTGAGGGGGCGTAAGGAGACATTATGTTCAGGGCACATCTGGATAACACATAGTTGATAAGAATCTCATAATTTAGTCTACAAGTTGCACCTCATTGTTTTAAAACATTTCAGTGTGATAAACTGTGCAATGAAGTGTATGTATATTTCACCTTTGGCTATCAGGCCTTCAGCTTTTCTGCCCCCACCTTCTGGAACTCCAGCCCAGAATTCCTCCTCCTCGTCTCTCACCCTTACCTCCGACAAGACCCATCTCAAGACTTTCCTCTTCGACTGTGCTTTTAGCCACCCTTCCCACCACCCCCCCACCCCTCTTCATTCCAATCCTTAACTGTCCAGCGCTGCACGGTTTCTGATGTGAAAGGATTTATTATAGTCATCGGCAACAAATAAGATGTAACCTTTTTTAAAATTGTATGGTTTGACTGTGCCTTGTTTATCCTCGATAAAAACAAGCTGACATTTACAGTTAGATGGAGGATGAAAATTTGATTGAAAGCTAAGGATGACATCGTTGTGATCTCTTCTGAGCGTGTTAAAGGTTTGTGTAGTTGGCTAGCTTTCCTGTTTGATTTCAGTGCCTACCTGATCTGTGCATGGGCTGAAAAAGGAGCTGATGCCTGGGGCCCTAATGGAGCTGTTCATTCTGATGCTTTTCCTCCTGAAAACCTTGTGGATACTCTGGGAGCTGGAGATACCTTCAATGCTGCTGTATTATTTTCACTATCCACTGGTGAGTGTCTTTCAGATGACATTGATATAATACTGGGCTTTCTTTATTTTTTTTTGTGTCAGTTTCTTTTTAGGAAAATAAAAGACTTGCTCAAAGTGTTGATTTTGTTCCTGCAAGTTATTTCGGGTTTGTATTGTTTTCTGGTGATTTTGAAGACACTACTGTTGGATGCTTAAACCTCCACAGTGTTGCCCCATTGTTTAAGTGGGATATTTTAATTGAGGAACCCCGAAGTATGTCACTCAAACTCACAGGAACGCCATCGATTTGCAAACTAATTTTAGTGCAGAGTTTAAACTGCTTCCAGTTATTTGTAGGAGTTCCGCATTTTAATTTCAGGATTAAAGAATCATGTTAGTTGCCACATTTTAGACCCAATGATCCTGATGCCCTCAAACAGCTTTCTGAATAAAAGAATAAAAGAAGTACACTTTTCTAAAAACATGGATTGATAAAAATTAATTTGGTATCAGCCAATAATCACTTGTTTGCAGCACCTCGCCCCTGAGTGAGAAAGTTGTGGGTTCAAACAATCCACCAGGTAAAGAATTGGTCATTCACTACATGGGACGTTGCTGGGTGCAAATTAACTACTGTGTTTACCCACACACACATAGTTGCTAACTACACATTACAGAAAAAATCTCTGTGAAACACTGAGACGTTTTGATGTAACACAATGTTTCGAGTTCAAGGATATTATTTTACATAATATGATGTGGAAGATGTAATGTGTCCATCATGTTGCTAATGTGTATTTACATGGGCTGTTGTTTACTGACAGGCAAGTGCATACAGGAGGCACTGACTTTTGGCTGTCAAATTGCTGGGAAAAAATGTGGCATTCTAGGATATGATGGAATTGTCTAACGAAACAACAACTTCACTGGAGAAACATCTATCCACAGATGATAGAAATAAGCAAATGTTGCAGATGCATCCAGACTTGGACTGATCGCAAGAGAGATGCAATGAAGAAGGCCCTTTGGCTCATTTGATTTCATCCTTCCAAAAATCCCATCCACTACTCTCCCAATTAACCTGTTCCAACTGTTTCTCTGTGTAAAGAAATGCTCCTGAAATTGCCCTTCATAACAGGGAACCTGAACCCTCCTGTCCTGCTGCTTAGGGGCATCAGAAAGTATTGTTACACTGTTAATCCATTTAGTTTCATATTTACCAATATAAGGTTCTCTCTGAGACTACTCTTCAAGGATTATTCCTATCATGCTCATTATTCTCCTCGGCCTTTGAACTTTAAGTAATTTGTTCTCTAAACTTTACGTTAAGTGATGATAAATAAGTCTCACGTTTCATTCACACAGGATCACTTCATCAAGTGGTTTTCTGTCATTCATTTTTTTAAAATTTCTGATTAAAACAAACTATATATGTTAAATTTCAGTAACATTGGTAAGAGAAACTTAGGTACAATGAAATCTACCCAAAGCTGTTCTGGAGCATTACCATGAGCACATTGTTCATTTAAGTATTTTTTTAAAATTCAATAATTAAAATTTGGACATATTCTATTACAAATTTACAAATTTGTCAAAAATTGACAAACTGTTATAATATAATAATGATCAATTAAAAAAAGTTTTAAATAGCCTTTATGTCACTTTTCATATTCTTTATCATAAGTTGGGAACACAGCATCATGGTAAGTTAAATGCACCAGCAATGACATCGGCAGAATCTAGGGTTGAAGGAAATTATCTCCACGAGAGTAAATGTCTGATTGACTTTGGTTTGGTTTAGTTATTCCAGCATTTTATTGTTTCGAGTGTTTTACAGGAGGAAGGTGAAATATATCACATAAACCTTCAGAAAAATAAAAACGCAAAAATGCAGATTTCCATTAGAGTGTGTTGTCTGTTTTCACTCTAATGTACACTGCATAGGTAACATGATGTGGGTACAGGTAATCTGGGTATAATGTGACCCAGACTGGGTATTGGCAGACTGTTTAACTTTCCCCAATCTCGTCCTCAACTAACACAAACCTGCTTATCTAATATCGCTGCAAAAAAGTCTGCATACAATTTAATATGTGTACGCAGTAATATCTAAATCTTCTCTAGTTGCATGTCTGTAACATAAACTCTCAAGATTGTAATATCACTTCTTGTGAAACACTGATATCTTTGGATGAAGCATTTACAGCTGCAATTGCCTGATTAATATTATTCTGTATTGTACACAATTTATTTCCTAAATTTGTAATATAATATGTCCAAATGATCCTATTTTATTGATTGTATTAGTAATTTTAGCTTCCACCTGTCTGATGATTCAAATGGACTGTGATTTCAAAGATGCATGGAGCCTTTCTCCCAGTTAACCTTTTATTTTCTCCTCTTAATTTCAAATTCATGATGTCATTTAATTGTATAAACACCTATATAAGAAGGTAAACATAAAATAATTAATTCCTGTCACATTTTCTCACACATGATATTTAATATTGAAGGTAAATTACAAAACTTTTTGTTTTAAATTAATTAGGGGTAGTTTAGCTGAGAAATATAAAAAGCAAACCTGAAGTACTGTATATGGTATTTAGGAAATGACAGTATGTCCAATGGCAAATAATACTAATAATGTTGAACAGAAAATGGGGATTCATCTCATGACCATTGATGCTTAGGACAAGTGGTGATAGACACTGAAAAGTATAAAACTACCTTGGAACTGATTTCACACAAATCCACAAGAATAATTTTTCACAATAAGTTTTCCCTGAAGGTGCAAATGCCTCAGCTTTTATTATTTTCCCCAAAGAAAGGATCAGTTTGAAATTGTTCAGCCATCTGGAAATTAATTTCATTACAATCTCATCAATTAAAATAAGATTCGATTGTTCCTCTGTTTCAGCTTCCGTTTTGGAAGAAGAGGAAACCTATGATTTACTCATAGTTTCAGTAATTCAACATCATTAGGGACATTAACATTAATACCAGGAAGAGGTCAACTATAATTAGAGAAATAAATTACATTTTTATAGCACTTTACCATGTCAAAACCTCTCAAATTGCTTTATAACCCATCCCATCCCCACCTCTCTCCTCATCTCCCAGCTCAATCTTCTGACCCCTCTCCTGTCCGACGTCATCAACCTCTCCTTGACCACCGGTTCAGTTCCCAACCCCCTAGAAACAGCCGTCATCACCCCCATCTTGAAAAAACCTTCCCTGGATCCATCCTTCCTCTCCAGCTACCGCCCCATCGCTAACCTCCCATTCCTCTCCAAGGCCCTGGAACGAATCATCACGTCCCAGCTCCGCTACTTTCTTGCCATTCCCTCTTTGAACCCCTCCAATCCGGCTTCCGAGCTGCCCACAGCACGGAAACAGCCCTGGTCAAAGTCACTGATGACATTCTGAACATCTGTGATCCGGGCTCCCTCTGCCTCCTTGTCCTCCTCGACCTCTCTGCTGCCTTCGACACTATCGAACACTCCATCCTCATACACCGCCTCTCCGCTTTACTCAATCTGCCCAGACCTGCCCTTGCCTGGTTCGATTCTTATCTCTCTCACCGTCTCCACTTTGTTGCCTCTAATGGTTTCTCCTGCAGCCCCCGCACTGTCACGTCTGGTGTCCCCCAGGGCTCTGTCCTTGGCCCTCTCCTCTTTACTATCTACACGCTCCCCCTTGGAGACATCATCTGCAGACATGGGGTCAACTTCCATATGTATTCCCTACTCTATCTTTCTGCCTCCACCCTCAACTCCAGGACCACTGCTGTCCTGACAGACTGCCTGTGGACATCAAGTCCTGGATGAGGGCAAATTTCCTACAGTTGAATATGAACAAGACTGAGGCCCTCCTGATGGGCTCACGTCAGTGCCTCAGCATCTCAAGCTCTGGAGCATCAACCTCCATGGTTGCTCACTACACTCACCAACCCAACAAGCCAGTCAGGAGCCTGGTATCTTGTTCGACTCTCAACTGTCTTTTCTTCCCCACATCCAATGCCATGACCCGCTCTGCCTTCCCTCACCTCCGTAACATCGCCCGACTCCGCCACTACCTCACCCCTCAGGTCACTGAAACTCTTGATCATTCCTTCACTCTGCAGCCCATGGTCTCTCCCGCACCAAACTCCGTGGGGAGGGGGCTGGGGGCTGGGGGCGGGCCTGGGCTGGCGGAGGGGGCGGGGGGGTGGGGCTGGGGGAGGGGGCTGGGGGCGGGCCTGGGCTGGCGGAGGGGGCGGGGGGGAGGGGTGGGCGGGGGGGAGGGGCTGGGGGCGGGCCTGGGCTGGCGGAGGGGGCGGGGGGGTGGGGCGGGGGGGAGGGGCTGGGGGCGGGCCTGGGCTGGCGGAGGGGAGGGGGTGGGGCGGGGGGGAGGGGGCTGGGGGCGGGCCTGGGCTGGCGGAGGGGGCGGGGGAAGGGGCTGGGGGCGGGGCTGGGGCGGGCCTGGGCTGGCGGAGGGGGCGGGGGGAGGGGGAGAGGCTGGGGGAGGGGCGGGGCTGGAGGAGGGGGGGAAGGAGGGGGCGGGGCTGGGGGAGGGGCGGGGCGAGAGGGCGGGGCTGGGGGAGGGGGCTGGGGGCGGGCCTGGGCTGGCGGAGGGGGTGGGGCTGGGGGAGGGGGCTGGGGGAGGGGGCTGGGGGCGGGCCTGGGCTGGCGGAGGGGCGGGGGGGGGGGGGTGGGGCTGGGGGAGGGGGCTGGGGGAGGGGCGGGGCTGGCGGAGGGGGCGGGGGGGAGGGGGAGAGGCTGGGGAGGGGCGGGGCTGGCGGAGGGGGCGGGGCGGGTGGAGGGGGCGGGGCTGGGGGAGGGGGCGGGGCTGGCGGAGGGGGCGGGGGGGAGGGGGCGGGGCTGGGGGAGGGGGCGGGGCTCCGGCGGCGGCTTTCGGAAGGTTTTTCCCGCCCAGACATCAAAGGGCTGCGGCTGTTTCCGGACACGTGACTGTGGAGCTTTTCGGTGAGTGTTTGCTGTTTTATCTAATTTTATATAAAAACCGGGAACCCCCCCGGGATACACCCCCGGGAAACCCCCCCGGGAAACCCCTCCGGGATACACCCCCTCCCCCCCGGGATACCCCCCCGGGATACCCCCCCCCCCCCCGGGGTGCAGTGATCACCTCTCCCTCTCCCGCCCTCCAGGGCTGTCTGTCTGATTGTGAACCTCTGGGCTGACATAAGACCAGATGGATCAGGAAGGAGAGCAGGAAGCAGGTTGGGCAGCATTGCTGTCAGTCAGGTGTGAGAAAGTAAATAAAACAACAATTTACATTCAAAATGGGAGGATGCCTCCCGAGCATTTCACACAGCCAAACAGAGCCCAAACCGGGCGGGAATTCAAGTTGACCGAAAGCGTGGTCGACAAGGGGGAAGGCTATCAGGAACTGAATGAGACAGCAACGTTAGATGTACACAGATGGTATAATATTTTTTCAAATATACAAACTTCTTCTGATTGATTCCAGAATCAGACACAATGGAAACTGCAGTCGCTATGTACCAAACACGAGCAAGAAGAGCACAGGGTTTGCTTAAATCACGCATCGATCAAAGGCGGACAAAGATGTACTCGGCTTCTTGCCTACGTGACACAGATGAGGAAGAAAATACATCTGACGAAGAGCAGAGTAGCAGAGATGAAGGTGTACAAAGCAGTGACTCAAATGATGATAGTAAACAAGTGCAAAATCCTGTTGCTACAATACAGAGCTCAGACGAGGACAATATCAATCGAAGTAAACGTCTGAGGACATCATCGAATAATGTGTTTTCAGACAGTGACTCCAGCTCAGGCAGTGAGATTTGGAGCAAACCAGTAAGAAAGATAAAAAATAATTCACGGCGTGTGTTTGTACAGGAGGGGGAAGAAGACAGTGATAAGGAGGGAACGTCTGCCACAAATTTATCTGTAGGGACTGAAGACTTCTCACAAATAAAGAAAGAAATATCAATTGCCCGGAAGAGGAAGAGGCATTTGGAAATGAAAAGATTGTCAAAGGAGAGACGATCTCGTCACTCGAACAGTGGAATCAGAAATTTCTCTGAGGTTTGATTGCTTTATTGTCTTACAGATAAAATACCAAGAGTGAAAACACTGAACTTGAAGGGATCATCATTCAAAGCTTTCTTGCAGCTCACTGTTATTTCCAGAGTGTTCAACAAACAGTTAATTTAGCCATCAAATTATTTGTGTTGCATCAATATAAGTATCTACCTTTGACTATTACACCAAATGGTTCATTGTAAATATCTGTGCTCCGGCCAGCTCCATGTCCCCCAACCCACCCGCCCGCCATTGGTGGGAGAGCCTTCAGCCACTCTGCCCCCAACCCCTGGAATTCCATCCCCCAATCACTCCACCTCGCCCCCTCCTTAGCCTCCTTCAAGTCACATCTCTAGACCCTCCTCTTCAGCAATGCCATCGGTTACCCCTTCTCCCCCCTGACCCTAACTCGGGTCTGAAATGCTGTATACTGTCCAGCGCCTTGGGACGCCCTCCTGACGTGAAAGGCGCTATACAAATGTAATCTTGTGTGTAAGACAAACATCTAGAGCTCAGTTACTCACTAGTCTAAGAGCAATTCCATTGGTGACCCATAATTATTCTGCATTATAAGTACAGTATTTGGCCATAACAACAATTGAAATTAACATCTCCAAGTGCTTTAGATTAGTAATGAAGTGAATGCTGGCATACTGTACAAGTAAAAGAGGCAGCTGATTTACACTAGCAACATACATCAAACATCAAAATAAATAATAAACTTGTATCTAATGTAGAATGTAGTTATGTTGAAAAAATGAGGCAGTTAATTTGCACCAGATCATGAAACACCGGGTCTACTGAAGATTATATATGTTTGATGTGAGATTAACTGTCCTATAATTTCATGCTTTGTCCCCAAACAGGGGATTTATGTCAGCCACTCTGCAATTCTCTGGCATGACGTTGTCTCCAAAAATGTACATAAAGTTTGGGTCAAAATGTCCTATCTTATAGTGTGCTAGCTGAAACAGATTATTCAAAATATAACATTAACATGCCTCTAGAGATCACAGTAACTCTTGGTCAAATAGACTTTTTCTATGCTGCAAAGCTCTATGGTTCTATTCCCATAGAGCTATACGTCAAACAGATGTACATTGAAAGCAGTAAATGAGATATTAATTAACTCCTTTCAGAAAGGAGATGGATAAATATCTGGGTAACAATGGGACTGAGAGTTTTAAGGGTAAATATAGAGAATAATCAATAACACTATAATCGGGCTAGTGGAAACATGAAAGTGTTCCCTGTGGAGACAAGTGCTCAAGATGGAATTAATTACATTGTAACAAGAGTTTGTCTATTTGGGGTCTTATGGAGCTATTGCTTGTGATTAGTCAATCAATGAAGCTCAGTAGATAGAGCACATGACACAGAAAAGTTACTTAGTCCCTGTATCAGGGTGAAGAATAGAAGTGTGAATGTTTTCACTGAATTCTGACACTTTGTCTCCATTGACTATTTATCAGGAGTCAGACGAGGAGGGTGGGGCATCTTCCGTCTATGAAGTGGGAAGCTCTGACTCCGATTTTGAAAAAAGCAGTTTAAAAGACTTCATTGTGGAAGATGATGATGAGGAGGAGGAGAGTGAAGAGGAAACACAATCTGGAGAAAACCACACAAGTACACCAAAGAAACCTGAATCATCAAAATCCATACTGGCAAAATATCTACCAAACTGTAAGTAAGAAAGGATGGCTAAAACCTTTATGGTTGGCCAACAAAATAAATGTTCTTGATTGAATATTTCTTGATTCATGCCATAAATGGAGAGGTTCTTCTTGACAGGCCATGGGCCATTTCCAGCCTGTAGGCCACAGTTTGGCCACCACTGGCTTGGTGGTACCAAATTAGAAAGTAAATGTGCTAACTTGTAACCTTTTACTATTTATTTCTACAGTCCACAATGACAGTCCCTATACCCACTTCAAAAGAGTAGTTAAAGGTTTGCTGATTAATGCACTTGATGGCAATTTTCTGAAATCACTGTATGGTAAGTATCACTTTGGAAATAAAATTTTTTTAAAATAAACTTTTTGAGCCTGGAAGACATGAGATGTCAAGTTGAGGGAGAGTCCCAACTTTTTTTAAAAGCATATTTTCTACAGGTTTTGATATATTTATTGCTTGACAAATAGTCCTGAAGCATCGTGTAAGAAATTGTTTCTATAGGTTCTATGCTCTCTAGGCGAGAGCCCAATATTGTAAGAAAATTGGTTCTAAGACAGATGATCAGAATGTAAGTGGATGTATATTTAATATCTAGCATATCCTCCCCATTTTGGATCAGATGATCGTATTATCTCCTTTAGCCAAAAGTGTTTATGTTTCTAAATAATACACGTATACCACATCCTCAGGAAGGAAAATTTCAGAATCCTTGTTATGCTTGATGCTCGTAGATGTTCAGGGTATAGTAGGGAAGTAGAGGTTAGACAAACTGGTGTCAGCGGCTTCTGCATTCCCATCATATGGTGGCAGTAGTTTGATATATATATAACTAGCTGTATCCATTGCAGCTTCACTTGAAACCAAAGGATCCAATATGGAATGTAGATTGACACACAGACAGACACACAGACAGACATTTCGTCTTTATCTATACTCAGTGGGAGGACTCCTGTGGGAGGACTCTTGCTGAGCAGACCTCAGACTTCACCCTCTCTGCTCCCTCTCTCCTGACTCACTCACAAGCCCACACGCACACACCCTCATATAACCTTTCCCCTCTCCCCCTTCTCTTCCCCCAAAAAACTCTCTCACCTCCTCACTCTTACCCTCGAGAGATTACGGGACTCAGCATATTTTTTGGGGGGGTGGGAGGGAGATTTAATTTTTAAAATGTAGCATTGAATTTTTTTTCACCGGGTCTTCCCTCCTCCCCGCTCTCTGTCCCTCTCCCGATGTATCTCTCTCGAAGGATGTGTGATTTCCTGTCACTACTTTGTTGCAGAATACAATAGCAATTACCTCATATTTTGGGGCTTTTTTAACCTCATATTTTGGATTTTTTTAATATAGCTCATGAACGATAATATGCCCATGACACTCCCCAAAGCAAGACCTTTCTGATGAGGTATAAATCATGTCTTGACGTCAATCGGTTATTGGGTTCTTGGCGGACAGACACACAGACAGCCATTTTGTTTTTATCAGTATAGATAGATGTATCTCTCTGGAAGGGTGTGTAACCTCTATCACTACTTTGTTGCAGAATATCATGCATACCTTTTTTGGGGGCTTAATTAAAGCATTTTAAAATTTTTTTTAATATAGCTCATCAACGATGAGAGATCCCCTGTTCTTGGCGGACACACACACACAGACAGGCAGGTTGTCTTTATTAGTATAGATATGTGCTCAGTGTGTTCCAGCCAATTCAATGGAGTGAAAAGACACCAGGGCTTGTTGAACAGGATTAATTGAGTTGGCTGTTTGATTTTCTCCCAACTATTTATATTTTCAACAGACGGCGCTAGAAAAAAGAAATATGCCAAGGAAATACTGAGCTCATTGAATTATATGGATGACCGCTGCATTAAACCACGTCTTGTAAATTTAAAAACAACAAGTCGATGGTCGAATCGATACCAGGTACGTTCAAGTTCTCGTGAATATCTGGGATTCAGCATCTGGCAATTAAAAGTGGTAAAAGGTAATTTTAAATACAAAGGAGGCTAACTGTTGGAATCCTTGTTTAGTAACGTATGTGCTTGGTGCTCAATTTTAAAGTTTTCTTCTGATTGAAGAAACAAAACAGTTATCAGTTAGCAATTTTTGGATAATCATACTTAGTTAAATGCAAATCTGTTAATTTAAATGGCAGCTCTAATGGGAGCAAATATAAAATCTCTGTGTGCCGAACAATCACCAGTGGTTTAGTGAAACTCAGTACCCTGGAGATTCATGCATCTTGGCAAGGTTATGCTTACATTTCCAGAATCAGTAAAATGTCTCACATGGAGTAGACCATAGTAGAAATTTCACAACAGTACTCATTGTGGAACAAACTCATCATGCGTGCAATACTGTATCTAGAGTATTTCAAATGTTGGACATTCAACTCCTGGTTTGTGTAATTCCTTCTCTCTGCGAAACCTTTCCTTCATAGTTCACTCAATAACAATGAATGATACCTTACCTCCCTGCCTTCACACTTGTTCTCATCTCTTCTAACTAAGTGAAAATTGTCTGTGACATATTTCTCCTTTGGCAATGAAATACAACCCATTTATTTAGTTTGTAGAATACCTGATCTATGCATTCTTTATCATTATTATTATTATTAATCCATTTATTACTGGATTCAGCCAAGACAGGGAAAGCTAGAGCTAGGCCTACAGTTAGGATTTGACAGCAGAGGGGCGCGGGCGAGGTGGGGGTTTCAGAGATGGAAGCAAAGATCATCTGTGGATTGTGGGGCAGACTGTGTAGGGCGAATGCAGAAAGCCAGTGTTGGCAGAGCAGAGGGAGTGATCATCGGAGTAGAGTCACAGGAGATTGCAGAGGTAAGGTGGGAAACGACCATTTTCTTGTTCTCAGTTCTGGCTTAAGAAAGCGGAGGACACTAGGTTAGGGTTTTATTATTTGGAATAAAATTTAGTTGAATTTGCTCTTCCTATTGAATACTTTTTGTTGTTTTTCTGTTAAAGGAACGTATAGATTGTTATCCTACTCTGCAAGTGAAACAATATCCAGCAATTCAAAGATCCTGCCAAGCCTGTGAGCTGAAACGCACCTGTCGATTCACAGTCATCTTATCTGGACTGCTGTATAATGGCAAGAGTCTGCAGGAAGACAACTTCATGCCAAACGATGAACAGGTAAATAGAAAGGGCACAATGGAAAAGCTGACAATTCACAGTTTGTTAGGGAGGTAAAGAAGTCCTCACAACTCAAGTCTTGCAATGGATTAAAGGACTAACATTTGTATGATCTGTTAGATAATTAAATTGCTATTCATTTTTTGGAGGAACTTAAACTTGTAGTTAAAATGGTTTTATTTGCCCTTCTATTGTCTAGGTGACCGTATTATAAGTAACATAATAAACCAAGAGGTATACCACATAATTCCACTGCAGGTCAATATGGGAAGGTGTAGCAAGGCTGGAACTTGGTTTTAGCAAGATGTAAGTGAATACCGAGGTCTATGATGGAGGATATTATCAAAGTTGAAAAGAGCGGAGAGAGAACGAGTGATTAGGTGATGGTATGTTTGCCATGTTTAAAATCTACGGCTTGTTGGAAGAAGTGACACACGGAGAGTGATAAGCTGTTTGAAAGGCAGAAGGTCCTAGGAATAAATTAGTTTGATTTCAAAGCATGGAGAGTCAGCAACAGCTTACAATTTTATAGCATCTTTCATGTAGGATAGCATTTTGGAACTCTTTACAGAAACCACCTGGATCACTCAGGAAGCTGGGAAGGGGGAGGGCTTCCATTCATGCTGGAGTACAGTTCCACAGACACTGGCTATCTTCTGGCACCTCATCCTGTAACTCGGTGGTTAGAGCACTCGCTTTGCAAGTGAGAGACCTGGGTTTGATTCCCTGCAGGGCGAAACCTTGGGCAAGTTTACTTACTTCACACGCCTGATAATAATCCCTCGAAAAAAACAATAATAAATTGGTCATTTCAATCCACGACTGTTTGTGGACACTGCTGTGCGCAATTGACTGCTGCATTTCGCCCACAAATATACAGTCAATTCACTTTACAGTCTATTCTGTAAAGCGCTTTGAGACGTCTAGAAGACGTGAAAAGCGCTATATCAAATGCAAGGATTATCATTTTATTATTATCCAATTGTCCAACTTTTATGTGCGACCATGACAGTGGAACCTGCCAGCATTAGTGTTGTCGGAAAAACAGCCATAGTGTCAACTACATTTCATGCAGGGAAACTGTGGCACGGCACCTTGAGATCTAATGTTATCCCGAGGAGCACCTTTTGCAACCCCACTGTCTCGGTCACACCTAAGTGATGGACAATTGGGTGAAATATCAGAATATTCTTAGTGCCTGTGCATCTGTACTCCAGGCCAGACGCAAGCCTTCAGGAGAGGAGGTGAGAAGAGAGACAGTTGTAAGCAAGCGATATAGGTTCAGAGTTGCAAAGGGCAATTTCAGGACAGAAAATATAAACCTTGCATTTGGTATAGAATCTTATCACGTTGGAAGGACATCTCAAATTACATCACAGGATTCACCGTGAAAAGGAGTGACTGTACTTTGTAAGCAAACACGACAGCTCAATTACACACAGCAATGTCCCACAAACAGCCATGAAACAAATGACCAATTTTATTTGGGGCATTGTTGGCCAAGAAGCCGGGAGAAACTCCCTTCTCATTTCTTACCATGGGATCTTTAAGGTCCACCTGAACAGTCAGACGGAACCTCGGTTTAATGTCGCATTTGAAGGATGGACTAGATACCAGGAAGTTTTTCTTTACCCAGCAGGTAATGAAGCGCTCCAAGATGCTGCCCTGCATAAAGGGAGCTATATAAATGCAAGTTTTTGTTGTAGTTAACTGGGAACAGGTTGCCACAAAGTTTGAGGCTAGGATACTAGGCTCATTTAAAAAAGCAATTTGATGCTGTGATGGGAGGACATTCTGGTGGTGGGTGTTCTGGAGGGATGAGATCAGATGGGTCGAAGGGCTTTCTTCATCCAAACCAATCCTGTGATCTTGCGAAACTGGCTTGCTTGTGAATATTCATAGAGTCAACCACCAGGGGGCTCTGCCCAATGCAGCCACAAGTTCCAAGTGCAGCCTTTCTGCAAATCTTATTGTAAGGTTTAAATCCTTTTCTGTGGGTTGATTACAAGCAGACACTTGGATAGCCTGCTGCAGATATCTGCTGAAAATCCCATAGTATTTAAGCTTGTAAATTTTTTTACCTTCACTTAACTTCTCTTTTTAAATCAGTTTGGCTCCTGCCTTTGGACAGAAGGTTGTGCATTCAACCCCCACACTATAACTCAAGTTTATAATTAAGGCCAATTGACAGAGAGTGCATCATCGTTTGATCAGATGTTACACTGAAGTCCTTTTTACCTGTTTATGTGGATGTTAAAGATTTCATGGCACTATTTTGAACAACAACGACAAAATTACATTTATAAAGCACCTTTCACGTCGGGAGGACGTCCCAAAGTGCTGAAGAGCAAGGAGTTCTTGTCAGTATTTCTCAAAGGATTGATACTTTGGTCATCCAGGTTATTGCAGTTTGTGGATAGTTCCTGGTGAAGATTAGCTACAATATTTGCCTACATAATAATAGTCACGACATTTCATAGTAGTTCATTGTGTGAAATATTTTGAAACATTTTATTATGCGAATACTTTACCTCAAACACAAGTATTATTATTCCTGACAAAGCATTCGCAGGGCTTTTTACAAAATATACTGAACAGCATTGAAACTTTGTCATCAGGAGTGAAGAGTTGTCTTCTTTTATTTATTCACAAATATGATAATGAGTGAGGAAGTTCCTTTGTATGACACAAATCACAGGATTCCTTTCATCTATTTGCTGCTTGTTGGTTGTTGCCAGCACAGATTAGCTGCTGCATTTGCCTTCTGCTACTAGTAAGATATTCTGTCAGAATAAAAGATCCTTTGAATCTTACAACCTTCACAGCAATTAATTACTTTGTATGGCTTTACCGTATTAAAGTGAAAATTTATACAATGTTTTATCCATCTTGTTTTCTGGTTGTGTAAATCATCACTCTCACCGGCCAAACTCCAAGCTGCGTCACCCTTCAGAGACCATCAGATGGTGCTGTTGTACCTCTGCAGAGAGTCCTTTACTTTGTAAAAGCCAGAATTTTGCTACTGCGACTCTTTTAAAAACTATTAGTATCAACTTTGATAATGCTTTGTTTTTTTCTATTATTTTACCCTATGTCATTGAGCACTGATGACATCGTAAGGGATCATCTTGGAGGATTTATTGTTAGAATTGTCCATCCCATCTGCCTGTTCAGGTCGACGTGAAAGATCTCATGCACTACTCAAATAGATGGGAAGTTTTTCTTACTGCCTGACCAACAATCCTCCAAATAAAATGAGTCATTTGCTTCATGGCTGTTTGTGGGACATGTGCATAAAACACCGAGTCTGCACTTTACAATATATCCTGTGAACCTCTTTTGGACTTTCTCCCCAAGTGAAAGGTGCTATGCCAAATGTAAGGATTATTATTATAACTAAGTACCAATGTACTGTTTGCTGTATGCATTTGCTGTATGTGTTTACCTACAAATTCACAATCCACTTTACAGTAATTTCTGTTAAGCACTTTGAGATGTCCTCCAGGCGTGAAAGGCATTATATCAAATACTATTTTTTAAATATAATACACACACCATACACACACGACTCATGTTGAAGCACACAGTGTTTACTGTAGTGTCATTTGATACTAATTCAATTCCTTGTCGAAGTGATGAATCCTCCAAGCCAGAACCCCAATAATGTTATCAGGACTAACTCTTCAAACAATGATGTTCAAGATAATATCAGAAATTTAAAAAAAAGCCAGTTATAATTTTATGTGACGGAACATGGTCCCAAAGCTGAGACTTGCTGCTTTGTTTATTTTATTTAATTGAAATGCTATGCTCTGTATTTGTCTCTCATTTTTTGTGGGAAGCTTGTCTTCAGTTTATCAAAGTTTTCTTTAAAACTATCACTGTTCTAGAGAATGAAAGTTGGCAATGTGTGCAAGGAGCGAACAGAAATCTACCACAGTCTGAAGCATTTTAAATACAATCTGTACCAGAAGTGCTGTGAAACTGTCCAAAGTGACACTCATCCAGACGAACAGGCGAAAGACACGATTGATCGGCTCTACAAATGTCTGGACGAACATCAGTGGATTGAAGAGGTAAACACTTTTCTTGAAATGTGGCTTAATTTTAATTTATTATCTTATATATCAGAGGCCTTAATCCTTTGGATAAGGTTTTAAATCGAGGTCCCGTCTGCTTGTTCAGGTGGATGTGAAAGATCTCATGTCATTTTTCACAGGGAGAAGGGAGTTTCAAATAAAATTGGCCATTCGCTTCATGGCTATGTGCAAATGCTTCATTGCTATGTGCAAATTGGCTGCTACGTACAAACTAAATGGTCACTACACTTTATAGCAAATCCTGTTAAGTGTTTTGAGACGTCCTCTTGATGTGAAAGGCATTGTATCAAATGCAAGGTTTTATTATTAAATTCCACCTTGGTTTGGTATGATGATTTTTCCATAAAATATGAAACTGTGCAGAATTTGGTCATACTTTGGAAATTGATTTGTTTTAAGAACTTGCAGAAAATTCCAGCTTCCAAATTGACTGAATTTAAGAATTTTCCACAGCATTGCGTGATCTTAAATATTGAGACAGAATTGGTTTTACAGGCAAAGACTAGATAGAATCCTGGGTCCTAGGAGCGTGTACATCACTGTCAGCGCGATATCACTTTGGCTGGGTCACTGAAAAAACAATCTGAACAGCTAATGTCATTCTTGTAATGCAGTATTGGCTGTGTTTGCACAGCGGTGTGAGTGAAAAGCTATATTTTCACTGCCTGTCCCCCTTACTGTGAAGTCAGAGCTCAACTTGTGGGTACTTGACCACTGGTAACCTGGACTTCTTAAGCTCTTGTTTTGGCTGCGGTTGCTTGGTTTTATCTCCCTCTCTGGTTGATTTGCTGCTTCCTTTCGTGAATGCTGCATTTCCACAGGGACAACAATTATCACTCCCTAAACTGCTTCAGTGCTTTTTGGATGTATTTACTCCATGTGCTGAATTGGCAGACTTTTCAGGAGCAGCAGAGACTTTGTAGAGTGTATTATTTATACCTGTGAGATTCGCAGCCAGCCAAACAAACAAATGAAAGAGGATATTGAATGTCTGGATGATACCAGAGATGACTTTCTAACTAATTGTATGCATCACACAGTAACGGTGAAATCCCAGTTGGACAGAGCACATTGGGATGGGAGCATCTGTGTAATACAGAATTTATTTCACTAATGGCAGTACGCTTCCAATACACAGATGATTAATTCACAAGTGGCTTGTTATGATTGGGTTCTGAGTTGAAACAAATGTATCCCTCCAGCTTCAATACAGTCAGTGGAGCAGCCCACAAGAGAGGAAGAGTAACACAAATTTGACAATAATACAGTAGGGTTGAAGACGTTTTTGTCGGGAAATCACCGTGTAAAATTGTATCAGAAATGTGGATATGGATGTGAAGTAAATCTCTCGGGAACCTCAAGTGCATCACACCAACTTATAGGAGCACAAGCACTCCAGGACGCTGCCCCAAATGAAGGGCACTATATAAATGCAAGTTGTTGTTGTTGGCTCCAACCGGATGTTTGGCTGGAGCTGGGATTGCATGCGATTGCCTGGAGGCGATGCACTTTACCTCCCGAGTTGCTTTTTTCAGCACGAGGTGCTATTTAAACTGCCAGTGTCCCAACCAGTGCTTTAACAATCTGATTTTGTCAAATCGACAATTACACATCTAGAACAATAACATTTTAGTAATAAACCCTTGATGAGAAGCCCTGATGGAGTGCTGGGTGAAGGCGCTGCCCAGTGTAGCGCTTAGGTTGCGAGTCCAATTCCTGGTCTGGAACAAGTTTGGCTGAAGTGTGGTAGAGCAGTTAACTTAACAGTAGTATCCTTGGGATCACGGAGGGGAAAATCAGCCAGGGTTCCTGCTACTAATTGCTATCCATTGACCTCTTCCTACCACCACCACTGGAATGTTCATGCATGTGGAGATTAGGAGAACATGTGGCTGTGTTGTTCATAGCAGTTAAATAGTCTGCTGAGGCTCCAGCATTGCTTGTTGAAGAACGGCCACTCAGGCTCAATACTGCACGAAAGTCAGGACTAATGGAAATGTACCCTAGCAGGAATTTATAATAATAAGTGTTACGTTTAATAATGTAACTTTGAACTCACAGTCTAGGCTGACACTCCAGAGCAGTCCTGGGGCTAAGCTGCATTGTCCAGGGTGCCATTCTTAGGATGAGACGTTAAACCAAGGACCTATCCGCTGGTTCAGTTGGATGTTAAACAGCCCTGTTTACAAGATCACAAGATTGGCCTGCAAAAAGAGGAGGTTTCTCCTAGTGTGCAAATTGTCTGCCGTGTTCACAAACCAAATGCAGTCACTACGCTTCACAGTATATCCTGCGAAGCACATTTGAGATGTCCTTCCCAACATGCGATAATAAATGTAAGGATTATTATTATATATCACCTTTAATGTTGGGAGGATATCTAAAACCGCTTCACAAGATTTATTGTAAAGTGTAGTGACTGTGTATTTAGTAGGTGAACATGACAGCCAATTTGCACATAGCAATGTCTCACTAACAGCCATGACCTGGGCCAATAGAAAAGTGTGGTGCACTTTTCCCGCGGAACCTGCTACAAACACCCACCTCCGCTACAAACACCCACCTCCACTGCAACCACCCACCTCCGCTACAAACACCCACCTCCGCTACAAACACCCACCTCCGCTACAAACACCCACCTCCGCTACAAACACCCACCTCCGCTACAAACACCCACCTCTGCTACAAACCTGCTATAAATGTAGTTTCCGGCCCGCGGGCCTCCGGGCTGTTTACCTTACATCACTGTGGGAGGGGCAGCTCCAGACGCCCATGTGCGGTGCTGCACAAGTGGCAAATGGGCTTCACTCGGAAGCCCCGCTGTTATGATTGTCTGTGTGTGCATGTTTATGAGTGTCTGTGTGTCATTGTGTGTGCGTGTGTATATAAGTGTGTATGATTGTCTGTGTGTATGTGTCTCTATATGCATTTGTGAGTGTGTGTGTGTGTATATCTGTGTGTGTCTCTCTCTCTCTGTGAGTGTCTGGGCGAGTATGTCTACGTGACTGTGCGTCTCTCTCTGAGAACGTGTGTCTCTCTCTGTGTCTGTGTGTGTGTGTGTCTCTCTCCATGTCTGTGTCGACATCCTCACCCTCACTGAAACCTGGCCCATCCCAGATGACACCTTCCCCCTGTGCGTGGTCACTCCAACAGGCTACACCTTCCATCATACCCACGACCTAACCGGTGGTGGTGTGGCTCTCATCTCCCGGTCTTCACTCGGCCTATCTCATTACTCCTCCAGAAGTCCTTCCCCTCCTTTGGAAATATGTATTATTTCCATACGTTTAGTTTTTAATCAATAAAGTGAAAACATGTAGGTTGGCAGTAAAATGTACCTCAATAGAATCAATCAACTCCCCGCCATTTTCTACAACATTTGTCAAACATTTCCCCGCAATGTTCCGCAAAAATTTCGAATCTTCCCGCAAAGCTGCGCAAATATTTCCAAACGTTTCTATTGACACAGGTCATGACCAATCCCATCTGGGAGATTGTTGGCCAGGACACCAGGAGAAACTCTTCATGAATACTTTTTATGAGAAAAAGAGCAAATCCCACATTAATAAGATTTTTTAAAAAATGTTTTTGTCATTTTTTTCCCTGGGAGATTTGCAGCTGAGATGAAGTTAGTTGCTATTAGTATTTTTTCTTACTTGGGTCAGTATGTGCTCTTGCAAGCATTGTTAACAAACTGGTACAATCTCCTGTCCAAAAATGCATGAGAAATGCTTAAACAAAGCACAATGACGGATTCAGTTGAAAAAAAATCTCAGCAGCGTTGTTATTGAACAGCTGTTATCCGGACAATATGTATAAAATGTAGCCGTTATCACTTAGTTATATTAAAAAGACATAACTTCCACAATGGCACCATCTGTTAGTCCTTTACCCTGATCAGAAATCTTCCTCCTTCCCCATGCAGAGTACTCAGTGTTGCCATTTGCTGGATCCGAGCCATGGATTAGAATTTCCTTGCATACCAGAGTTTTCTCATGTTGTTTAAAGGGACAGAGTACCCATCGTCCTTATTCGCTTTGCCCTGGTATTTTTCTTTTCTCGTCGCAAAAAAANCAGTCACACCACTTTACAGTAAATCTTGTGAAGCACCTTTGAGATGTCTTGACAACGTGATAAGGTGCTGTATCAAATGGAAGGATTATTACTATAATTTTCTCCACTCCAGTATTTCATTCCTCTTTACCTCTTACTGGGATATGGTTGCATTTGTGCTGTTTCCTGGCCCTGGGAATGTACTTTCTTCAAAAGGTCACTAAACAGGGAAGAGGCCTTCCAGTTTGTGGCTCCAGTCAACTGAGTGAAGCTCTTAGAGACGCCCTCCTGATAGGAGAGATATATTAATGTAACGTACCAGCTCAACTCTGGGAAAGCAAGTATTAAACAAAAAGCAAAGTTACAGCCTGACTGATGTAGGACCTACAATTTATTAATTTGAATTTGCTCATCTTGTGAGAGGGGGTGGGGTCACAAAATGACAGTTTTAGAACCTGAGACAAACTAAATACCTGGACAGAGACGTGGCCTGCTTTTTTTCAATTCGTTAAAGTACTCTTTAAGGAATCCCACAAATTTTACCCCAATATTTTGCTCAGTCCCATCAATAGGCAACTGTTTTGTCCTTTGTTAAAGTGTGAGGAGCATGCGATCTATTAGCTTGACAAACTCTTTGGATCATTTGCTGTGCAAGGTTTACCAAACACCACAATCAATCAGCGCGCCCTTCATCCGACTTTAGTGGGAAAAAAACAGCCGGTTATTCCTGCTGACTGATGTTTGCGCCTTTCGCAGGCCAGTGCACCAGCAGCACCAATGAGAATCAGCCTGTTGCCCTTCAACTAAACCTTTCAGGCGACAGCAGTCGGTGTTGGTAATCATACAGCTGATCACAGGTGTCGTTGCAGGAGATTTGAGATTTTAGCGGTGGGGAAGTGAGAGCGAAGCACACTGTGAACAGA